TAAATGCGACCTGTACTTTGTTACAAAGATACATGCATAGAAGGACGAACGGACATACACAAATCGCCTCAGAATTCTAACTATGGGTCTATCTGGTCTCCTTTTGCCTGTTACAAACAAATGCACAACGACGTAATACCCTTACCAACTTGTGGTGTAGGGTATAAAGAGCAACTCCTAAACCGACCAACAAAATACACAATTTTATTGTAAGGTTTTAGAAATAGAACTACTGTTTTTTCTAACTATAGGCTATGGGTAGTTTTGAGAATAATTACTGAATCCCAAAAAGAGCATTTATCTTTAGAAAAGGTGTGAAAAAGTAATAATTCATTCAGAAAGGGTGAGAATTCCCTCTTATCCATAAGAGACCTGAAGAGATATTCCACTGTTGAAATTTTTTTCTACACAAAAAAAAAAAAAAAAACTGAAGGGAAATTGCTTCTATCCATAGAGACCTAGAAAATGTCTTTCACTTGATATACATCGGAAAAAGTATTTTATCCATGGACAACTTAGAATATGTATTCTATGTGTAGAATACGTGGTAAGACCTGAAATAAGTCTTTTTCAAAAAAAAAAAAAAAACACAAAAAGTATTTTATTCGTAGAACTCATGAGATGTTGTTTTTCCATAAAATACCTGAAAAGGCTCTCTTATCTATAATATAGCGGCAGCACTATTTCATATGCAGATGGGTTAGAATAGGCTTGGTTTTCTATCCAAAAAGGCCAAAATTATTTCATACACAGAAGACCTAGACAAGTTATTCTATCATTGAAGATCTTTACAAGATCTTCTACCAAAAAAGCCCTGTTAAAGGAATTTTGTCTTTAAAAGACCAGTCATAGGTCTTCTGCCTTGAGAAGGCCCGTTAAAGTTTAACTTATAATCATTAGAAATTGTTGAGGCGGTCTTTTTAAGGGGTTCTGCCGATAGGAGACCTGTGAAAATTCCTGTGAAATGACGTCACTTTACAAAATACCAGTAAAAAGTCCTCCATCTATAAAAAAACTCTTACATGGAATTTTATCTGAAGAAGTGAAAGACCTGTAACTTTATCAATAGAAGACTTTTTTATAACCATAGCCATATGTCTAGGGAGGGCATATATAATTTGATACGACCAAAACGTGCCTCATTTAAATCACGGTTTTAGACCCTAGGTCTCTTTGGACCAAATCAGTTTCAGGACATTTGGAGTCGACCTAGCGATGTCCGTCCACTGTCCGATAACTCTCGGAGGGAGTATCCTTCTGATACCCCCCTCACCAATGACAACATTTTAATTTTCACAGAAAGGGAAAGGATAATCCGATTTTGCTCCAACTTTAAGATTTGCATCAGTGCTTGGTCAGGTGCGAAAATGGACAATATCGGTCCACTCCATCAAGTACCTCCTCAAAAAGTGTCAACATTTTGAATAATTACAACTCGTATAGAATGTGATGTAAGTGTTCGATTGTCTTCAAATTACACACATCACAATATTTTTAGTAAGCCAAGGTCTGGTGCGAAAATAGAATATATCGGCCAACTCCTTTTGGTACTCCTATCTAATCTAAATCTAAATATTTCTCTTAACCAGGATATAAATATGTACTTTATCAAAATTTATGATTGGATATAAATGTTCGATTTTCTTCAAATTTTGCATACACCAATATTTTTATCTGTATTAGATTAAGTATGGAAATGGAATACTTCGGTTCGCTATATCTGTTATCTCACGCATATTTTCACATTTTCGAAAAATTTGAACATATCTCATACAAAGTGTATGAAGTAGTCGATTTAGTCCAAATCTGGCACGTTGTAATATTGTTATCAGTCTTAGGTCATAATATATATACCATCTTCGAATAGTGGATATAAAAAATATTTTGTTTCCTGTAAAAGTTTTGTACACCTACACCTATCTAATATCCATCAATGAACCCTTATTGTAAAATATTCTAGTGAATAGATTTGCAACTAGGCTATCATAAATATTTTTACAAATACTCAGCTCAGCTCATTTGAAAAACAATGTTAGGCAGCTACTTCCATAAATTATATTTCCAAGAAGACGAAAAAACGTAGTACAAAAAATAACAATTTCATATTTTCCACATAAATATATATGCATGGATTTTAAACCCAACATAAGACACCCGTAGGGGCTAATAAGCATGGGGAAGCATAGGGAAAGGCTTTTTCTGTGTGTTTCCCCAGTTTTGATTTCACATATTTCAAATTGAGTAGACAAGCCAACGAAGAAAAAAAAATTTTTTTTTGTTGTAGGAGAATGGTCCGCAAGACATGGAATAACAATGATTTGGTGGTAGGAAACCACATGATTTTCTGTTCCATATTTGTTTGTAAAAAAGTGATTTACATATTTATGTCAAAATACCGTCGTTGTCGTTGATGTTACTGAGGATTTCCATCGTCACAGAAAACACTTTAAGGTATGAATGAAGAAATTTGCATAATATCCGAATAAAAATTCCTCGTCGTCGTTCGTTGGGGTTTTGTTGAACACCTACCAAGCGTCGGCATGGGAAACAGGACAGGCCACAAATAATATTGAAATTGGTTGGAAAATGTTGAATGCCTTGGGCAAGGATTGTAATGGCAACAATAGCAACAGCAGCAGGAAAGGAGAGGAGCGAAAGAAATAAAGGCATTTTGTAGGATGACATCCGAAGAAGACAACGGAAGAAGAGAAAGGACAACCAATATGTTATTACAGTGAATTGTTGTCCCATTTAGTCGGTTAGTCAGTCACTCAGTCAGTCAGACATTCTGCGTCAAAGAACACCTCACATTAAGAAAATTCCCAGCAACAACACTCCTTGCTGCGGCAAGATGATGATGGAATTTTGTTACAACTTGTTGACTTCATTAAAGTATTCACTTCAAAGACAGAAGTATTCATTTCCAACATTGCCCGTAGGAGGGTCCAATACAACAACAACAGCTACAGCAACAAAACGGTAATATATATGTCTGTCTGTCAAAGGAATGCCATTTGCCATGCCATAGAGTCTGGACCGAAAACGGTCAATTAGTTAGTGGAATAATGAAGCATTTCTTAAAAGTCAAGTAGAGGTGACTTTAAGAAAGAAAAACCAGAAGCCAGAACCTCAGAAATATCTTAAAGGAATTTTCTTGAAAATTATGTCGCAAGAATGTAAATACCAACTTGTTGAAGGAAAAACACAACAAATAACAGGCGACAGGACAAATATTTTGGTTGAGGGAGCTATGAAAGGGATTTTAAGCGACATTTTTTTAAAAATAGAAAACTGAAAGTTGTGACTTATAGGGTTTCAATAAACGGGAGACCCTACAAATTTATTCTTTGGCCCGATGACCTTTATAAATAATTCTAAATATAGAAATACACAAAAGGATTGCCCATGTATAAAGGATCTTCAACTTCCGTTAAAAGATATTCCATAGACGAAGGATCTTCAAAAGGTTTTTTTTAAACTAAAAATACTCAAAAGTTCTTCTACAGACATGAGACCTTCAAAAGGTCTTCATAAGTCTTTTTTTTAGTTAGGATGTCTTGAAAACAAAATCCCCTTAAAAGGGAGGCAGATGTCCTCTAAAATCTTTCAAAATGTATTATATTTGCAAAATACTCTGAAAAGTTCTTCTGTAGAAAAATACCTCTTCTGTAGACTTTCGTAAGTTTTCTCTCTTTTTGAAAGCTTTTTGTCGTTAAAAGTCCTTTTGATTATTTTTTTCAAGGTCATCTTCCAGAGTATACCTTGTAAGGGTAATTGATATATAAAAGTTCTGTCTTTAGAAGGGTCACAGGATTTCTATTGATAGAAATCCTTCAAACCTTTAAAGGTCATTGACAGAAGGCCTTCTAAAGATCCTTTATAGATCCTTACAATGTATTTTACAGATCAATGACCCTTTCAAGGTTAACTCTGGACAGAAGACCTTCAAGAGGGCATCCACAAAAAGAAATAATAGAACCAACTCTTTAAAAAGGTCTTTAAAATAGAAGGTCTTCAAAGGACTTTTAAAGGCAGAAAGCTATCAAAATAAGTGAAAACTTAAAAGTCTGATAAAAACTCTTCGATGGACCGAATAGCTTCAAAAGGGTTTCCACTAAAGTTTCCCTACGGGCCCATCACTGAGTTTGTTTATATAATGCATATTTTTATACCCTTCTGAAAATCTCCATAGAATAACTTTTTGAAAAAAAATTTAGGTCGAATTTATTGTCCGATTGAAATAAAATTTTCCAGAAATCCGTAGTTTGGCCCCAAAACGATTCCAATTGCAATTGCTGATAATCGGTTCACAAATACATCTTCGTCTTATTTAAATTTTTTTGAGCGCCATATATGTAATATTCGCTCTCATTTGATGGCACATCGAACAGATCAGCCTAGAAGTAAGTGTGTCAATTTTCTTGAAAATCGGTTTAGATAAAGCTATATTTCCCACTTATATATATGTTATCCGAATTGGTGCAGTAGCTAGTTGTCCCTGACATTCGCACTACACACTCCACAACAATGAATTCATTTTTTTTAATTTAAGCCATCTTTAAATCCTAGCATGTTCTCTATAGCAATGTTATTTGGTACCAATGGTGCAAATGCTTCCGCCAAATTTGGGAAAATAGATTCAACTATTAGTTCCTTCTGATTCCAAATTATAATTGCTCTAAATCCAAAATACACATTCAAAAACGGTCCGTAGTTAATATGATCCACCACATAATTAGATAGTAGCTCTACTACATCTGTATATTGTTGTGGGGTATCATATAGACGGCTCTCCTGACTTTTGACCTTCTTTACTGGTTCAATTTATATAATTACCAAATTTTGGTGGTGTGTGAACCTAACAATGTAAACTTTGTAGCCATTATTTGGACGATGGGGGAATATCAACAATCTGTAATTTGTTCCCTGATATTCAAACTAACCTAGCGTATAAATTTACTACTTTACTTATGTATCACATTTTCTCTCTTTTCTTCCAGTGACTCCCATACGTGGTCCACGCATAACGGGCGGACAGGCGCGATATCAAATCGGTGATACGGTGCGTGTCAATTGCACCTCGTCAGCTTCCAAACCGGTGTGTCATCTTAGTTGGCTTATTAATGGTGAACCGGCAAGCCGTTCATATCTACGCACATACAATAACAAAGCGATAGGCAATGAAGGTTTGGAACAGGCAACTCTCGGATTGGAGTTCAAAGTGAGAGCATATCATTTTCGCAATGGAGATATGAAACTGAAGGTGAGTTGTAGGAACATTTTGAAATTTGTTTAATAATAAATAAAATAATACTTATAAAAATAATAAAACTGTGTAACACAAAAAATAATTACGAGAAAAATCTTACAGATTATGAAAGTTGAGCATAAAATAGAGGACACGTGTATAGGCATATAATAAGAGGGAGCCCGATCCCTCCTTTTCCACATTTTATTTAATTTTCGGTTGAAGACTAGGTATATAGTGGAATATTTTTTGGTCGAATGTTTTAACCCTCAAGCTAGTCAATTTTAATGGATTCAACGAGAAAATTCTTTGGACAGAAAGAAAATACTTAGGTCTGAATTCGATTCCTGCGCGACCTTATTAAATAGTCCAATTACCAATCTGGGTTGAGAAAAAATGTACCACCACTCGGTTTTTAGATCAAAACCCTCAAACAGGATTTCGCAACGATTTCGGAAAAAGTACTACATTTGCGAATATAAAAAAAAAATTTTATGAACCGCAATTTATGATATTTTTCCTTAGTACGTATTAAGTATACAAATTTCTTTTGTTTAGTGACACCCATTAAAATTTGATATGGAACAATTCTGAGATAGAATTAATTGGAGCTGTATCGATATAGCTATGTATGTCCCTCCGTCTGTCCATGTTAATGTCTCAATTAAGGCCGATCCTCACGAAATATTGCATGGAAGTGGGGTTATGGTCAAAATAGAAGCCTATTGCTTTCGAAGATCGCATAATATTTAGGGGTTAAAATGGACCAAAAACTGAAAAATTTCCTGAAAATGTTTGCACTTGCTCTACAGTCGCAATTATAGATCAACGACGCCGAAGTTAGCATTCAGCTTAGGGCTGGGCTGAAGCCTTCAATTTTAGATGATCAGCGGGTAATATTTAGTTGGTGAAATCGACCATAGCATTTGTCAAGAGGTCAATTCTGGCCGTTACGTAGATGCCGATAGTAATATATCGGATATATAGCGAAATATATACAATGTATATATACAAAGCAAAGGGATGTCAAAAAAGATGCCAATAATGGTGTTAATATAGATTTTGTAGTATTTTGTGATATTTTTTTATTTTTTTCATATTTTTATCGCATGTGATTTTTATACCCTACAACACTATGTGTTGGGGCTATTATAAGTTTGATTGGGCCAAAAATTATGTAACACCTCGAAATATTCATTTCCCACATAGGAAAGTATATATGGATCTTCCTAGCTCGCCGAGCTGAGTCGATCTAGCTATGTATGTCCGTCCGTCCGTCTATCCATGTTAATTTGTAATCACTCTACAGGTCGCAATTATGGCCCGATCCTCACGAAATTGAAAATGTAGGTGGGGTTAGGGCCAGAATACAACCCCATTGTTTTTGGAGATGATCGCATAATATTTAGGGGTTAAAATGGACCAAAATCTGAAAAATTTCCTGATTTTGTAGTTGGTCTACAGATCGCAATTATAGACCAATCGAAGCGGAAGTTAGCACGGCGCTAGGGTTTAACGCTGGGCAAAAGCCTTTCAATTTTGATAGTCATCGGGTAATATTTAGCGGGTGAAATATACCATAACATTTGCGTTAACTAAAATTAATTTTTTTCATTAAACCGCGAATATTTTTAATCCCACCGAAATCACAAATAGACGAACAGGTCAATTCTGACCGTCACGTAGAACCCGATGGTAAATATATCGGATATATATAGCGAAATATATACAATGTAAATATACAAAGGAAGGGGATGTTAGCTAGAATGCTTATATCTCAAGAATTGCTGGACCGATTTTGACAAATAATGTCAATTCAGAATGCCCTCTTGGCATAAATGTATAAAATCTAAATAAATCGCATAAAAAGATATATAAGAGATAATATTGATTTTGCAGTATTTTGTGACATATTTTTTATTTTTTTCATATTTTTATCGCATGCGATTTGGCACGCCTGGGAAGAGATTTGAGGACAGGGAAGAATTCTAGCATTATGGATGACCATTGTATTATATTCAGCTGTAAAATGGACCACAATAACTAACAGCACGAGGGAGTGCATAAATATTGGGAAAATGACCCTGGTCAAAATGCTAAGGGTAATACCTGGACAGTGCACCGTGACATAATTTCAAAACCGAAATCTTCCAAAATGGATTTGGACATAAGACATGGTCGGCCCCGCACGACTATAGCCTTTGCTTACTTGTTTAATTTGACTTATAATATTGATGTGTATATTTTGTAATATTTGGGTTATTACTGTGGTTATTATATACAGTTTGCAATTATCGTCCGATCTTCACGAACATTTTTATAAGGGTAGAAAATTTTTATATGAGAAGAGAGTTTAGGACAGGGAAGAAGTCTAGCATTTTGGATAAACATTGGATTATATTTAGCTGTAAAATGGACCACAACAACTAACAGCACAACGGAGTGCGTAAATATTGTGCAAATGTCCCTGATCAAAAAGTTAGGGTAATATCTGTGCAATGCTCTATAACATAATTTAAAAAGCGAAATCTTCCAAAATGGATTTGGGCATAAGGGGGCTTCTAACATATCACATGGTCGGCCTCGCACGACTATAGGCTTTGCTTACTTGTTTAACATAATCCTTATCGAAGTCATATCATGCACTATACAACAATGTTATTTAGTACTGGAGGTATAAAGGCCTCTGCCAAGTTCGTTAAAAATCTATTCAGAGTTGGATCAAATTTGAAAATTGTGACTGTTCTAAAGTCATGACTCACATTCAAATAATGTTCATAGTTGGTATGATCTATTTCACATAAATTCCCAATATGAACTCGCTTGTTTATTTATATTTATATAAATTTACCTATGTATTTCAAATCTATGAAGTTTTTTAATTTAATAATTAAAATATGTTTTATATTTGCAGTGTGTGGCAAAAATATCATCGCTCTATTTTCAAAGTCGTGAAGCGAGCGTGGTCTCAGATCATCCGCACAAAGCGCCAGCCCTGGAGTCAAGAGAAACTGTTGCTGCAAAGTCAAGAGCTCATGGTAGGTTAAAATAAGATTTATAATTAATAACTTACTACTTATTATCGATGACGCATTATTTATATAACAAATATAACAGCTTTACATATGGCTAGCTGTTTTTTTACATTTATTAGATAATTCTAATTTTATGAGACAAATCGTTTGAATCTTATGATACTTGATCAAAAAAGTATGTCAATATTTTTCTGACTTTTCCATTTCAAACCAAATTTACACAATTTACCCTAATATGCTGAAAAAAGTAGGTTGCTCCCAATTACGCACTTCATTAAAACTCTGTGGCCAACCTACGACCTTATAAGTAAACTTTGTTTCTTTCATTTTTGTTTTTTTTTTTTTGGTTTTTGACAGGCCCTTTAATTTACTTGATGTCTATTTCAAAAATATGAAAAAAGAGCTAAGTTGCAGTCAAACTTTTTTATAACAATTCCTGTTATCACTTCAACATGTCAGGTTGCATGTGTGCAGTTCCAATGTTCTAGAAACCTTTTCATCATTGCAATAACAAGCGACTGGCAAAAAAAATCAGAGCAGTAATACTCCATCATAACTAGGGCAAGATAAGTACATATACGTGAACATTTCCCACTCAGTTTGCTGCTGTTTTTTTTTTCAACAAGTCGTCATCAGTTTTAGTTGCTGTTGTTGTTTTTTTTCTGTTTTTTTCCTCAACTTCCTCGAACAACTTTATTATATGCTTTACCTTCTGTTTTGTTTGCCACTTTTACAGGCGCTTCAAGCGGCGGAAGTATACATCATTTGAATGGAATGCCGGTTAATTACTTGCTAACTTTATTATGCTGTCTTAGCTTTTTAACGGCAGTCACAGCAACGTCGACAACAACAACATCAATAACTAGGATGACACCAGCAGCAACAAAAACAACCAGGGTAACAGCAGCAGTTGTAACAGTAACAAAAAGTAGTTCAGCAGCGACAACATCGCGAAGGCTAACAAGTAAAACAGCCACGACGAATACATCGGCGTCAGAAACAGCAACAACCACACCATCAACAGTAACAACAACAAAAACGTCAACAGTACCATCAACAACAACAACGCCCTGCTGTAATAGCAAAAGTTCCCGAGTCGCACACAATTTAATATCATCACACATGGTATTTAGATAACTATGTTAATTATTAAGGACACTCTAAAGTGGAAAGGAGAGAGCCCCACTCTCCTGCCGCCACTACCGCCCCCCACTCTCTCCTCAAACTAACCCGTCTAACAGTCCTTGTACTATACACACTCACACACAAACATATATCACAATATAACTCACAAACTTATCTTTAATATAGAAAATAAAAACTGAAAACGTAACTAAAACATAAAATACAATGAAGATGTCAATGAATATCGTTTGAATGAATCACTCGAATGAAAACATGGGAGTGTGTGTGAGTGCGCGTACCGCTCTGTGTGTATGTGTGTGAATGAGTGAATGCCACAATTTTATGAATGTTTATGTAAATGTGTTATGAATACTACTTTACTGTTAACTTATTAATGACGATGTAAAATTCAATTTTGAATTAAAAACTTAATAATATTATTAAAAAATAATAATATAAATAAAACCAGTAAGTATGTATATACGATGTGTATGTGAAATATTTGGGGGATATTTGGCTGATTTCTAATTTCGTTTTAAAAGCTAACTTGCAAAAAAGAAAAAAAATAACAAATTTTAAAAATATTTAAAATCATGTTTAAGAAGATGACAAATTAAAACCAGTAAAGAAAGTCCTAAAGTTGGGCGGGCCGACTTTATGATACCCTACACCACTTTGCTAATTTAGTAGAGCTCCACATAACAATTAAAAGTTTTTGTGGGAGAATTCAATCATACACGCTATGATTATAATTACAATTTAAAGTTCAAAGGACTAAATATGCCGAAGCATTTGTATCTTTTAAATTCGGACTTGTATTGCTCATTTGGTGCAAAATTAATTTGAAATCAGATAAAGACATATATGGGAGCTATATCCATATCTGAACCGACCTCGATAAAATTTGGCTAAGATATTTCTGAGCTGTATTTGATATATTTCCCTGAATATCGTTGTTACGGAGTGCATATTAGGGCTGTGGGCAACAAATACAATAAATCGGATGAACAATATATATGGGAGCTAGAGCTATATCTCAACCGATCTTCACCAACTTTGGCATACTAGCTTCTACACTCAATGCGGTCGTATGTGCCAAATTTCATCCCATTTGGGCAAATATTAGACGTTTGGTGCACAATAAAAGGTTAATCCGTCAAAGTTATATATGGAAGCTATATCCAAATCTGAACCAATCTCGATAAAATTTGGCAAAGGTATTTCTGAGCTGCATTCGATATATTTCCCCAAAATATTGTTGCTACAGAGTGCATATTACGGCTGCGGAGGATAAAAATAACAAATCGTATGAACAATATATATGGGAGCAATAGCTATATCTGAACCGATTTCGATCAAATTTAGCATACTTATTTTCAGGCCTTATTTGGTTGTATGTGCAAAATTCCATACGGGCTGATATTACACGTTTGGCGCAAAAAAGGCAAATCGGACGAAGATATATATGGGAGCTATATCTAAATTTTTACCGATTTTTACCGATCATAAATGAACTCAGAAAGTCATTCTATGGAGATCCTCAAAAGTAACTATGGGTCTATCTCGCTTCCTTCTCCATGTTACAAGCAAATGCACAAAGACATAATACCCTTACCACTATGTGGTGTAGGGTATAATTACAAATTAAGGTCGAATTTGCATTTTTGCCCTTCTGCTTTTCTTTTAAAATGTGGAATGTTGAAACATAGGGCTTTATCCTTAATATTTTATTTTTATCATGCAAAAAGAGTGTAGATGTTAAAGTTTGGCTCTCACCAATCAATAAGACTTCAGCTTCCAACATAAAATTGGGTATATCTTATTAAGGATCCATTCCAGAATGTGCTGGAATATGCTATTTTTAATCATTTTCTTCATTCTAAAGAATTTTGAATCTCTGTTGGAATGGTACCCGAAGGAGGACATTCAAAGCTTGAAGAGAATCGGATACTTCACACTATATGAGATATAGTGAAGACATATTTCATCTTAACCCCAGACCTTGGGTTAAAAAAAAAAATATTGTGATATGTGTGATTTGAACCGGATGGTCATTTCGGATTTTCTGATCGTTATGTTTTCTCAATATTTTAACGCTTTGTGGGGAGGTATCAGAAGGAATGGTCCGATCACTACCGTTTTTATAACAGATCCTGTGCTGATGGAAATATTGTCTGACTGAAGTCGGATGGTGATTTAGTGTTTTATAACTTTCACGAATATTCCAAAATTCTGGCCCTTTGTAGGGCAGGTACCAGAAGGAGTCGACCAATATATTCCATCTTTACACCAGACCATGGTTTAATAAAAACGTTGTGATGTGTGTAATGTGAAGAGAACCTGATGCTTATTTCGCGTTCTATGGTCTTCATGGATATTCAACATTTTGAACCTTTGAAGGGGAGGTACCAGAAGGAATGGTCTGATCTCCACCTTTTTAATAACAGATCCTGTGTTGATGGAAATATTCAGATGTGTCAAGTGTAAATGGAATCGGCTGTTAATTTCATTTTATGAGCTAAATGGATATTCAATATTTCGATCTTTTGTGGGGGAGGAACCAGAAGGAGTGGGCCGACATATTCCATCCTCACACCGACCTTGGTTTAATAAAAACATTGTGATGTGTGTAATGTGAAGAGAACCTGATGCTTATTTTGCGTTTTATGATCTTCATGGATATTCAATCGGTCTCTTACATCACATTTTATAAGAGTTGTAATTATTCAATATTTTGACCCATTGTGAGGGTAGTACTTGATAGATTGAACCGACTTTGTCCGTTTCCGCACCAGACCTAGCACTGACGCAAATATTAGGACTTGCAAAGTTGGAGCAAAATCGAATTATCTTTTCTCTTTCTGTGCAAAAAAAGTATATTTTTTAAAATTTCGACCATTTGTGGGAAGGTACCAGAAGAAGTGGACCGATATATTCCATCTTAACACCAGACCTTGGGTTAATATAAATATTGGGATGTGCTCAATTTGAAGATAATCGGACTCTTAAATCACATTTTATAAGAGTTGTAATTATTTAAAATGTTGACCCCATTTTCGCACCAGACCTAGCAATGATGCAAATATTAGGATATGCAAAGTTGGAGCAAAATCGGATTATGCTTTCTCTTTCTGTTCAGATTTTTTTTTAAATTTCGACCTTTTTGGGGGAGGTACTAGAAGGAGTCGACCTATATTGCTCATCTCCCACCTCGATCTAAGTTTGACAGTAATATTACGATGTACCAAGTTTGGATCAAATCGGATATTCCCTTCGAGAGTTATCAAGTGCACCAGCCAGACAGACAGATGGACGGACGGACATCGCTAGATCGACTCCAAATGTCCTGAAACGGATTTGGTCCAAAGAGCCCTAGGGTCTGAAACTGTTATAAAATGATATATGCTCTCTCTACCCATATGGCTGAGGCTAAAAATATAGCTGGGTATATGAGGGTAGAAATATGTTGTGTGGCTTAACTAAACAGCAAGAGAATCTGCTCGATTTGGAGCTGAAGTAACTCTCACTCGAAAACAAGCAAAGGTTGCTTACTTGGCATAGAAGAAGAGAGTGTAATTAATTTTTAGCCTTACTGGCAGGTGTACTCCCGCTCGAATTGGAATGAATTTCGCGCTTTGCTCAATTTCGAGCGAGCATTTCGAAGCTATTGTAATAATTGCTTAAGCAAAGGAATTACGGAAACAAAACAGTTGCAGATCGAATATCTCGGTTATTCTCGGCTAAAACGGTACATGAGAGCTATATCTAAATCTGGACAAATGATTTGTGGAAAATTTCGTTCGCAAAAGTACATTGTGTTCTAAATTTTTCTACGAGTTTAGCTAGGTTCCTACAAAGGCTAAAAATGGCAGACATTCTAGAAGGGAACTTTAGAACTTAAAGAAAACGAAATAAAATTGAAAAACTAAGAGTCATTATTATGCAATTAATTCTAGGAATTATTTCATTTTCGATTTTTTTGAATATGAATTTCCCCAAAATGTCCCACAAATGTTTCACCTACAAAGGAGCATGAGATAGACGCAATTAAAATACAAATAAAAAAATTGTAATAAAACTTTTTAAAAGTTATCCAAAGACATGAGTGAATATCTCCAAGTGTAAAGAGAAGAAAAAGAAAAGAAACAGACAATGCTAAATAATAATAAAATTGGAAAATACTTAACATAATTCATAAAGAACGAAGAAAACTTTGTGTATAAAAATCAAATTTAAATGAATATTATTATTTTCCATAACATTAGCATACATCAAAGTAAAAAAGGAAAGAAAACAAAAAAATGCGAAACTCCTCTAATATATTTCCATTTTTACGTTACGATTTTTCTTCATCATATAACAACAACAAAAGAACATATTATGTAAACCAAAACATATCCTATGCCAAACAAAGAAACCAAAAACAAAAAGAATAACTACAACAAAACACACATACAAATAAAGCATATAATTTTATGTTTTAATAAATTAAAAAAAAGTAAGAAAAACTCATACATCCATACATACCTTATGACAAACTTTCATCGTAATTAAGCTGTAACATCATCCATATCAAAAATCTTACTTTTGTAAATACTGATTGTATCTTTAAGCTCATAAATTATGCCCTCCCTCTAATCTCCTGTTTTTTTTTCTTTTTGTATAGAGACATTTACAAATGCCTAGATTTGTCATTGAAACCTACAAAAAAAATGATGAAGATAAAATATGAAAAATAAATAAACTTTTGTAAAATTTTAAGACTCTATCGATAAGTTTAGTTTTAATTGTACATTAAGAGAACGAGATCCTAAAAAAGTAATTATATGAAAAAAATTCTGAAAGAAATGTGCGAAGGCGGAAACAATTTTTAGTTGTAGAAAAACATGGAGATTGTCATTGAATTGAGCAGCTAAGAAATATGAAAAACGATCATTGTAAACGTCATCGTAAAGGCAGAAAATTGAAGTAACGAAACGTTTTCAATGTTAAACCAAAGAAAAAAAAAAATGGTCGAAATAAAAGAATTTGAAATGGAAAAATTATTGATTTTTATTTAAAGGATAGGTCAAATTGATTACCGAGTAAGTATTTAAAAAAATCCTCAAACAAGAATGGAATAGGGGAATATTGTTAATGTGCGCACTTGGCCTATGTTTTATATGTGAGATACAATCAAATTGCACACGCGCTTTGTTTTATATAAGATATATGATTTTTAATGTACCAGAAAGAGTGATTGATACATTCCATATTCACATGGTTCGTAGAAATATCGGGATGTACAGAATTAAAAAAAAAAAAAAACATGTAAAAACGCACTTAATTTCTGCCGGGCCGAAAGCAACTTGAAAAATTCCATCGGAAAATACCGCTCAAATGAAAACCGTCATATGGGGGCTATACGAAGACGTGGTCCTGCATAAGTAATTTATGTCATATGCTGTAGTAAATGTTCCGAGGTTTATATACGAAATATAAAACAATTCAGGCGAATAACTTTGCAAATATCATCTAAATACCGAATGTTGGGAGGAACCGTTATATAGGGGATATATGATATCGTGGACCGATATATAGAATCCTCTTCCAGGGGATAAAGTAACTTCCTGTGTGAATTTTTAGACAATTCCATTAAGAAATGTGGCTAAAGTTATCAAAATACCAAAATGGGGGGTACCGTTATATGAAGGCTATACGATATGGTGAACCGATATAGATAACTCTTTTCCAGGGGATAAAGTACTCACAAGAAACTCCTTGTGTGGATTTTCAGACATTTCCATTGAAAAATGTTGCTAAAATCATTAAAATACCGAACGTCGGGGGGTACCGTTACATGGGGGCTATACGATATCGTGGACCAATATAGCCCATCTTCGAACTTGACAAAAGACTGCCTGCAGACAAAAGAGAGATCTGTGCAAAATTTTAGCTTCCTATCTTAATTCGCTTTGACTGTAGCGTGATTACAACAGACAGACGGACTGACAGGGCTAAATCGTCTTAGAATTTTACGCTGATCAAGAATATATATTTTTTGTTGGGTCTAAAATTATTATTTCGATCAGTTACAAACGGAATGACGAACTTAATATACCCTCCATACTATGTCTGGTGGAGGACATAAAAATTCGAAACCATTTATGGAACAAGTTAGAGCGTATGAGTCAGTTTACCACCAGATACATGCAGCTTAGTCTAAATATATTCCGACTTTCGGTTTGATTATTCCAAGTCTTGATCGAAATTCGTTATAAATATTATAATTTCACCAAATTACAAATATCAGCCCAAATAGACTGAATTTTGACAATTCCGACTAAATTCATGCTAGAAAGAAGTGCTTCAAATTTGGTTCAGATAAGCTATATATGTGTTTATCCGATTTGGTGTTAAAGTCCCTAACATGCGTAATATGGACTCCACAACAATAATCTTTGGTACCAGATATCACATACAGTTTAGAAATAAGTGTTTCAAATTTTGTCAAGATCGGTTGAAATTTGGATTAACTCCCATATCCAGAAAAAACACGTCAACACTGTTTTACTCTTATACATATTTTTATCCGATTTCGTTTTTTTTTTTTTGTTTGTGCACAAAATGGCTAGTATCAGCTCAAATGGACTGAATTTTGGCATTTCAGACGGAATTCAGCCCAAAAGCTAGTGCTTTATATTTGGTGGAAATCGACTAAGATATAGCTATAGATCTCATATTTTGTTTCATCCGGTTTGGTGTTAAGGTCCCTTACATGCGTAATATGCACTCAATAGCAATGATAATTGATACCGGGCATCAGATACTGCTCGAAAATACCTCTGCCAATTTTTATCAGCACAAATTGAATAGATTTTTTTTATATCCAATCGAATTTTGCCATTTTGTGAAACCCGGTCCGGAATATCTGTCTTATCGAAGTTATATCATACACCATACAACAATGCTATATGGTTTATAGTTGGTATGATCTACTTCACATAAATTCCCAATATAAACTTTTATGTTACAGGAGCTCTACCAAGTACGCATAGTGGTGTAGGGTATCATAAAGTCGGCCAGCCCGATTTTTAACCTTTCCTTACTGGTTTAATTTTGAAGTTATGCGAGCGAGAAACCATGAAGAGTTAATGGATATGTGCAATTTTCACATTTCATCTAATATTGATTAAAACATTGGGATGTGCAGAGTTTAAATATAATCTTATATTTTCTATTTCGACTTTTTGTGGGGAAGGAGTGGACCGACATATCATCTATAAATGATCAAAATATTGAGAAACCCAATATTTAAAGAAAATCACTGGTTTGTTTCGCATGGTATGGAAGATATTATTATTAAAAATGTTGATTCTTTTTTGTGGGAAGGTACAAGAAGAAGAGTGTTACCAATAAGCCCCATATTCATAGTAAGTAAAATCTATGTACATGTATTGCAATGTTCAAAGTTCAAAGAAACATTGGATAATTATTTTGTACTTTATGACAGCTATAACAAGTAAGAAATAGGGTAGAGCCGTTCGAGGCCAACCATGTGAGACTCAAAACACTATTCGAAAACCTCCTTAGGTCGAAACCCATTTATGTCGATTTCTTGAAATAATGCCATACAGTCTTTACGCCTACTGCCGTGCTGATAGGTTTTCGAAACAAAAATCACACAAAACTTGTGCTCTTTAGAGTGTAAATTTTATTCGATTGCCATCAAAAGTACAAGCCTGTCCTAAACTCTAACCTCATTGGAAATTGCATATCAATGGTCCTTAATTGTGATTTGTAGAGCGACTGAAACATTGGGAAAATTGTCCCCTTTTTGTCCATTTCTACCTCCAAAATACTTTGCGAACATCTGCTAAAGCAATGGGGGTTTTGGCCCTAACCCCATGAAAAATTCCGTGAGTTTCGAAATCGAATGTCGCTATAATTTTAAAAATTACATCGGCCAATTGTTGTCCTTTTTCTGGTAAAATTTCAAAATAACCGTATCCTATACACAATAGCCTCTGTCGGCTACTTTCCAAACGAAAACTCCAAACATTAAGCTATCCCGCGCCAAATTTAATCAAACATTACAGGGTGACTTATGCAGCATTTCATATAACGGGACTACTATCGTGTTATTAAATTTGATTACAGGAATTCTGTAATTATTTATTTTAACATTACAAGGTGACTTTAGCAGCATTTCCCTTAACGGTACTACTGTCCTGTTATTTATTTCGATTACGATAATGTAATCGATAAGTGGTTCATGCCGCAGTCAGTTGCAGATTGGATTAATTTGTGGCACAACGGTGCTATTGAACGCCATTACCTACAATTGTAACGGTAGTGTTGCACTACTCACCACTAGGGAGCGCTTTAGAGCAATATCTACATTTGCAATATGTTAAGTTAACAGCCTCAGAATCCGTTGGTTGTTAACTGTGGTAAATTTTTTAACCAAACAAAGAACCATGTTACAAATAATAATTTTATGTATAATATGTTCGTGTGTGTTACCCTGTTAAGAAGGACGAATTTAAAGATAGGAAGCCAGCAGCTAATATATAATTATAACATGCATGAAAAGATAAGATGTTTGTGAATATGTTCGCACAAATCTATAAACTGGAATACTCTGTATATATTTCCTTTGTTCCGCTAGAAGACCAAACACGCTGTTATTAAAGATTTTAGTTATTTGTTTACTAAAATTGTAAACGGCTGGAAATTAATTTGTAATGGAAATGAGGTTTTAACCTCATAAATTAAGTTTATTATTTCGTTTGTAGCGCCTCTAAATATAAACAAATATTAGATATCTAGGTCATTTAACCCACATTGCCTAAGAAATTGTTCAAAACTTGGAATTTGTGTTAATGTGGCTGTTCACGTTTTTCTATAGCACTAATAGACCAATACATCCAGATATTAAGTATATTGACGATTTAGGCAAAGATTTTCTATCGGATATGTTTAAAATTCGCTATTTTGTTTATAATGGGTTCTAACTCCGGCGTCAGCACGTTGTGCATGTTGGTCCACGGGTTACCTATAACGATAAGGACCGGTATTCGGTTTCTAGTGAAATTTTTCCATGGAAGTCTTTCAAATTTGGTATTGAGGACTTGCATTTGTAAACAAAAATCATTTACATTTGATTTAACTTAAAACTTATGTATCACAAAATATGTTCCGGTTCCCTCCTTCTTGTGTCTCTCCCACAAAACTTCCACTAAATGCCAAAAATTGACCGCTTTTCTCCAAACTAGATTTTTTAACAGATTCGTCACTAATGTCTAAAATTTTCGAATAAAATCTTATTAAGTGCGTTATATGCACCCAATATTGTCAACATTGGGCACAACATAAAAACTAGTTATTTCTTGAAAATATTTAGGATAAAAAATATTCGGATTTGCAAAATTAAATTTGTTTAACTTTATACAATTCATTCTTAGACAAAATTTTAATATTTTGTGGGGAGGTACCACAAAAAGATTTTTCAGAGTAGATCCATATTTACACTGGATGTTATGTATGTGGATGGATGTTTAATTGACATTTTATTTATGCTATGGTTAATCAAAACTATAACTCTTTGGGGGGAGATACTAGAAGAAGTAGGTCTCTATATTCCATTTTCAATGTCGACCATTTGCGGGGTAGGTATTATAAGGAGTAGGCTGATGCCTCCCATCTCCATACTAGATCTTGTGTTGGTGGAAATATTAGGAAATATGAAACATTTGAAAAGAATCGGGCGCTCATTTCGCCTTTTATAAGGGTCATGGATATTCAAAATGTTGACCCTTTGTGGGGGAGGTACCAATTTTAACCCTTTGTAGAGGAGTGCTATACTTTCTTCATACCAGACCTTGTGATGGTAAAAGAAATGCAGGGTGTTAAATTTGAAGACCATTGTACTTTTATTTCAAATTTTGGAAAAGAGACGATTATTCAAAAATCTGACCAGTTGCGGGGTAGGTACCAGAAAGAAAGGGCTGATATATTTAATCTTCATATTTTGTGTTGGTAAAAATATT